TTGCCGCCGCGTCGGGCTCCCCGACCTTCGTTCTTCTGCTTTGTCCAGCAACGATCCACCGTGTGTCCCACCTTGCCACAATACGTGCATTGGTAGGGCTCACGCTCGGCGCTGAATGCCTTGCTTGCATCTTCAGCCTTCACCGTAGTCGCTGTCGTTGTCCCTTTTTCTCCTTGACGCTTGGCATGCTCATTCGTCAGGACTCTCACCACATCTTGAGTGCGAAGCTCGGTGCTGCTCATTTCCATGTTGAGCACCACATTTTCGTAGCTCTTCGGAAGACTGAGTAGCAGACAAATTGCAACGTCTTCGTCTTCCATCTTCGCACCGATGCCGCTAAGCTTGGCGGAGATGTTGAGGACCTCGTTGCAGTGATGCATGACGTTCGCGCCTTCAGCCATCTTGATACTGAAAAGTTGTCGCTTGAGGTAGATGCGTCCTGCCTTCTGCGACCCACCGTACAGCGTCTTCAGACTTGTCCACGCAACCCAGGCTTCCTCGCAGTTGTCCAGCACATGATGGTAGTCCGCGTTCATGTGCAGCAGCATCATACCAAACGCGACGTTGCTTGCCTTGACGTAGTCATCGGACGCTCGCGGGTCGGTGAAAGTCGGAGTCACTTCACGGTTGACAACGTGCCAGACGGACTTCGTCAAAAACACACCGCGCATGTACCGGCTCCACGTTGCGTAATTGTCTCCGTTGAACTTGTCAATGGAGGCGTTGCTGGTGGACGACATGGCGCTTGGGCTCATAACCTGTTGCATTGTAGATCGGAGCGAGGAAAGCGGAGCAAACGGAGCGGAGATACCGAAGAGAGTAGAGCAGAAAACACTTGCCCAATAGTTGGAAGATTCGAAAGTGATTGATTATCGGGGCTTACTACTTACTACATGATTTATATGTGGTGTACATATAAATCATGTGAAGCGTCTCATCATCCTACGCGTCTAATCAACTATGGTAATTACCGTAAGAACTACGTCGTAAATACTAAGCTGAACAGGCGGTTCGGATTGGATCGGTCACGGTTACCAATACTGGTAGAAAACCGATGACCGTCAACATCGACTACGCGGAAACGTTTTTGTTGAATGGTAAAAAGCTTGACGACCGAAACTGGAAGTGATGCTGGGAGTCCACTCGGAAGACCGGAGAAGACACTTGGGGGTAGATGGAAGATTGGAAAGTGATTGATTATCGGGGCTTACTACTTACTACATGATTTATATGTGGTGCACATATAAATCATGTGAAGCGTCTCATCATCCTACGCGTCTAATCAACTATGGTAATTACCGTAAGAACTACGTCGTAAATACTAAGCTGAACAGGCGGTTCGGATTGGACCGGTCACGGTTACCAATACTGGTAGAAACCGATGACCGTCAACACGCCCCCTCAATCCGAACTCGCACGAATGCCGAGAGCCGTCGTCAAGTCCTTGTGACGAGGTCCCGAAAGTCCCTTGGTCATGATGTCCGCCATCATCATGGAAGTCTCGCAATACTCGAGCTGCACTTCACCGCGCTTGACCTCATCACGGATGTGATGGTACTTGATGTCGATGTGCTTGGCGCGGCCATGATTCACCGGATTCTTCGTCATCTTGATGCACGACTGGTTGTCTTCACGGATGACGAGGTCCCGTCCTGGTTCGTTTGCGGCCGCCAAAATCTCGCATAGCAGGCGATGCACCCACTTGCCTTCCTGGATGGCCAGACTCAGTGCGATGTATTCCGCTTCACTCGTCGACAGCGACACACTTGACTGCTTCTTGCTTCCCCAACTCACAGGAGCACCCATCAGCATGAAAGCGTAACCCGAAGTCGACTTGCGATCAGCGTGGTCGCCGGCCCAGTCCGCGTCCGAGTAGCCACGAAAGTCGATCTTGTCGCTTGGCTGGAAACGGAGTCCGTGCGACTCGGTCCCTTGCAAGTAACGAAAGATGCGCTTCACCACCGTCCAATGTTCTTGCTGCGGATTCTCCATGAAGCGCGAGACGTACCCCACAGCATACGCAATGTCCGGGCGCGTCGCAGTCGTCAAGTGCATCAAAGCTCCCACAGCTTCACGAAACGGAACGTCGATCTTGGCCGCTTCGGTGCTTGCGACAAGCCGAGGGCTCAAGTCGACCGGACTTGCTGTGGCCTTGCACTCATCCATGCCGAAGCGCTTGAGGATGTCGTTGACATACCGTCGCTGGCACATCGTCACGCTGCCATCCGATTCGTCCACCAGTTCGATGCCCAGTACAAAAGTACACTTGCCACTGTCGGTCATCTCGAAACGCGTCTTGAGGTCGGCCTTCGTCTGCGCAATCAACTCGAGCGAGCTGCCGGTGACCAACACGTCATCCACGTAGACCAGCACGAGCACACAGTGACCGTCGACAACCTTGATGTAGAGACATGGGTCGAACGCCGACGCTTCGAAACCGATAGAGCATACGAACTCGTCGAAAGTCTCGTTCCACACACGTGAAGCTTGCTTGAGACCGTAGATCGCCTTCACCAACTCGAGACAGTCGAAGTCGCCATCCATCTCGACGCCTTCTGGTATCACGCAGTACACCTTCTCCTTCATCACTCCGTAGAGAAAGGCTGTCACCACATCGAGTTGATCCAGTGGCCAGTCGAAATACTTGGTGATCGCGATCACCATACGCAGTGTCACGTACTTGACCACGGGCGAGAACGTCTCTGTGTAGTTGATGCCGTACTTCTGCTTGAAGCCCTTGGCAACGAGACGCGCCTTGTACTTCTCGACCGATCCATCCGCTTTGCGCTTGATCTTGAACACCCACTTGGTGCCGATCGCGCCTTGGCCTCTTGGTAGTTTTGCCGCACGGAAAACTCCACGAAGATGCATCGACTTGAGTTCCGCCTTCACAGCATTTCGCCAGTGATCTTGATCAGGACCATTGATCGCGTCTTGAAAAGTCACAGGTTCTGCTAGGTCCGTTGCTTCCACTGCGTTTGCACTTGCACGCCAAAATGTTGGAGGCGTCGAGTCGTCATCTTGATCGTAGACGCTTGCATCTTCTTCGTCATCAGACATCGTTTCTGGAGCACTTGATCGTCGTTTCTGGTGACGGTTGGAGACGTGTTCCGGCGCACTTGCTTGTTCCAACCCAGTTCGAGGGCGAGCTGAACGTGACATGCCGGGTCTTGCTTCACTCTTGCGCTTGCCAGTCTTCTTGTAGACGGTTTGACGCACGTCGTCCTCGTTGATCGCTAGGAGGTCGAGGTCCAACTCCGCATCTTCATCATCGTCACTTGGTCGGTCCATCGAAAAGTCGAAAGTCGATTCGTCGAAGGTGATGTCACGACTGATCACCACTTGGCCCGCCTCAATGTCGTACACTCGATAAGCTTTTGACGCTTCTTCGTAGCCCATGAACATCCCTTCACGAGCCTTCGGGTCCCACTTCAATCGCTTCTCCCTTGGTGTCAGGATAAACGCCCGACATCCAAACACGCGCATGTGCTTGACACTTGGTTTCGACTTGTACACGATCTCGAACGGAGTCTTGTGGTCGATCTTGGGTGAGGGCAGGCGGTTCTTGATGTAGATCGCCGTCATTGCCGCTTCAGCCCAGAAACACTTCTCCAGCTTTGCATGATGCAACAAGCTGCGTCCGATCGTGACGATGGTCCTTATCGCGCGTTCTGCGGTGCCGTTGGTCTGGTGTGCATACGGCACCGTGACTTGTTGTTTGATCCCATGATCTTCGTAGAAGGTCTTGATGGAGTTGGTCGCAAACTCATGCGCTCCATCGTGCCGAACAAACTTGATCTTCGTGCCGAACTGAGTTTGAATCTTGATGATGTGGTTCTTGATACAGTCTTCACTCTCAGACTTGGACCGCAGACAGAAGCCCTTCATGCAACCGCTGGCTTCGTCAACCACAAGCAGTAAGTATCTGCTGCCGCCGATCGAGACTTGTTCCATTGGCCCGCAGATGTCGAAGTGCAGCAACTCGAACACACCATATTGGCGTTTGTCACGGTTGGTTGGGAATGGTTTTTGGACCATCTTTCCTTGCTGGCAACCGCGACACACACTTGGACCAGTCGAGTTGAGAGGTGCCTTGGCGTCCTTGATCATGCCAGTGGCCACCATCTTGCGCAGAACTTCAATGGGTGCATGACCCATGCGCGCATGCAAGTCGATAGTCCCATTGCGTGTTGCTGCATTCGCCGATCGTTGAGGAGTCCGCAGCCAGTAAAGTCCATCGACGAGATCCGCTGTTGCCACGACTTGTGTGGAATTCTTGCGCTTCACTTGCATCTTGGACCCATCGAACACGACTTGGAACCTGCCACCCTTGTTGATCTGTGGCACCGAAAGCAGATTCTTGCTCATACTTGGTACGAACAGTGCGTCCTTGATCTCGATGTCGCGTTCGTCACCATTGGGCAGAACCACCCGTTCCATGATGGTTCCCACACCCTTGATCGCAGCCTTGCTGCCATCAGCCACTGATAGTTCGCCTTCCTCTCGCTCATTCAGGCTTGCAAACTTGGCTTTGTCGTTGCAGATGTGATGCGTTGCACCGCTGTCGACTGCCCACATCCCTGGCATATTCTTGCCCGTCGAAAGTCCAGCCTCCAGCGAAACCGCGAACGCAACTCGATCGTAGTTGTCGTCGTTGTTGTTGTTGGTTCGCCACTGAACGTTGTTGGCTCCGCGTCCACGAGCCTTGTTGCCGCCGCGTCGAGCTCCACCTTGATTTTCGTCCTTCTGCTTGGTCCAGCACCGCTCCGCCGTGTGCCCCAATTTTCCGCAGTATGCACACTGGCGAGGTTCACGCTCGGTACTGAACGCCTTCGCCACGTCTTCAGTCTTCACCGATGTCGTCTTGTCACCTTGCCTCTTGATGTGCTCATTCGTGAGCACTTTCACGACGTCTCGCGATCGCAGTTCCGCGCTGCTCATCTCCAAGTTGAGAACGACGTTCTCGTAGCTCTTGGGGAGGATGTATGGTGAAGTCGATCTCACAAAATTGCTTGTATGAGTGTCGATCTTCCACTTGCCCAGACTTGTCGACTCACGGAGGGGGTACTCCGATCCGTGCCTTGTTGTATGACCTTGTGCTCACCTTGTGTACCCGTCGGTTGGGCTGGCTTGAGCTCTTCGTAACGGCCTTGGGAGATGTCGATCTCGCTGAGAGGTTGGGTTGAGTCCAGCTCCCTGCTCCCTCATCCACACGCGAAGATGCACCCGCAGCAACCACCTACCAACAACAAGCAACCACCCACCAGAGCGCAAAATACCATGCGCCCTCTACCCTGTTGGTTCACATCTGGACAGGCTTGCAGTCCGGATCTCCTGCTTCTCCCCGTCATGCAGTTGGAAAACGTGCCACTAGACATCCGGAGATGCGGACATCCCCCCGCGTAGGCCTGCAAGTTCGTCTGAAGTCCAGAGATCCCCCCGCGTAGGCCTGCAAGTTCGTCTGAAGTCCAGAGATCCCCCGCGTAGGCCTGCAAGTTCGTCTGAAGTCCAGAGATCCCCCCCGCGTAGGCCTGCAAGTTCGTCTGAAGTCCAGAGATCCCCCCGCGTAGGCCTGCAACTTCACTTGAAGTCCGGATAACCCAGAGCCTACCGCGGCGTGTGAGCGGATCTCCTTCTTTGCTTCCCTGCGGCGCTGTCTACTCCTGCCTCCCGGTTCTACCAAGCTCCCATTTCCACACCTCTCGCACGTCACCCACTCCATCTTAGTTCTGCGCTTGATCTTGGTGTTCGGTGGTATTCGAGGGATTAAAGAATGCGCTTCGACCTTTGGTGTTACGGTGGCATTCGAGGGATTTGGGGGATGGCTTCGGTTTGGCGTTTCGCTGGCATTGACGAGTGGATTTGGAGATGGCTTAAATCTTAATGATTTATTACTGGTGCTACTGCAGACACTCCTACTCGTATCTCCACATCACTCCTCGCGCTACAACATACTCCAGCTCCCCTGCTCCCTCATCCACACGCGATTGAAGTGGGATCCCTTCACGAGCCTTCGGGTCCCACTTCAATCGCTTCTCCCTTGGTGTCAGGATAAACGCCCGACATCCAAACACGCGCATGTGCTTGACACTTGGTTTCGACTTGTACACGATCTCGAACGGAGTCTTGTGGTCGATCTTGGGTGAAGGCAGGCGGTTCTTGATGTAGATCGCCGTCATTGCCGCTTCAGCCCAGAAACACTTCTCCAGCTTTGCATGATGCAACAAGCTGCGTCCGATCGTGACGATGGTCCTTATCGCGCGTTCTGCGGTGCCGTTGGTCTGGTGTGCATACGGCACCGTGACTTGTTGTTTGATCCCATGATCTTCGTAGAAGGTCTTGATGGAGTTGGTCGCAAACTCATGCGCTCCATCGTGCCGAACAAACTTGATCTTCGTGCCGAACTGAGTTTGAATCTTGATGATGTGGTTCTTGATACAGTCTTCACTCTCAGACTTGGACCGCAGACAGAAGCCCTTCATGCAACCGCTAGCTTCGTCAACCACAAGCAGTAAGTATCTGCTGCCGCCGATCGAGACTTGTTCCATTGGCCCGCAGATGTCGAAGTGCAGCAACTCGAACACACCATATTGGCGTTTGTCACGGTTGGTTGGGAATGGTTTTTGGACCATCTTTCCTTGCTGGCAACCGCGACACACACTTGGACCAGTCGAGTTGAGAGGTGCCTTGGCGTCCTTGATCATGCCAGTGGCCACCATCTTGCGCAGAACTTCAATGGGTGCATGACCCATGCGCGCATGCAAGTCGATAGTCCCATTGCGTGTTGCTGCATTCGCCGATCGTTGAGGAGTCCGCAGCCAGTAAAGTCCATCGACGAGATCCGCTGTTGCCACGACTTGTGTGGAATTCTTGCGCTTCACTTGCATCTTGGACCCATCGAACACGACTTGGAACCTGCCACCCTTGTTGATCTGTGGCACCGAAAGCAGATTCTTGCTCATACTTGGTACGAACAGTGCGTCCTTGATCTCGATGTCGCGTTCGTCACCATTGGGCAGAACCACCCGTTCCATGATGGTTCCCACACCCTTGATCGCAGCCTTGCTGCCATCAGCCACTGATAGTTCGCCTTCCTCTCGCTCATTCAGGCTTGCAAACTTGGCTTTGTCGTTGCAGATGTGATGCGTCGCACCGCTGTCGACTGCCCACATCCCTGGCATATTCTTGCCCGTCGAAAGTCCAGCCTCCAGCGAAACCGCGAACGCAACTCGATCGTAGTTGTCGTCGTTGTTGTTGTTGGTTCGCCACTGAACGTTGTTGGCTCCGCGTGCACGAGCCTTGTTGCCGCCGCGTCGAGCTCCACCTTGATTTTCGTCCTTCTGCTTGGTCCAGCACCGCTCCGCCGTGTGCCCCAATTTTCCGCAGTATGCACACTGGCGAGGTTCACGCTCGGTACTGAACGCCTTCGCCGCGTCTTCAGTCTTCACCGATGTCGTCTTGTCACCTTGCCTCTTGATGTGCTCCTTCGTGAGCACTCTCACGACGTCTCGCGATCGTAGTTCCGCGCTGCTCATCTCCAAGTTGAGAACGACGTTCTCGTAGCTCTTGGGGAGGCTGTGTGGTGAAGTCGATCTCACAAAATTGCTTGTATGAGTGTCGATCTTCCACTTGCCCAGGCTTGCCGACTCACGGAGGGGGTACTCCGATCCGTGCCTTGTTGTATGACCTTGTGCTCACCTTGTGTACCCGTCGGTTGGGCTGGCTTGAGCTCTTCGTAACGGCCTTGGGAGATGTCGATCTCGCTGAGAGGTTGGGTTGAGTCCAGCTCCCCTGCTCCCTCATCCACACGCGAAGATGCACCCGCAGCAACCACCTACCAACAACAAGCAACCACCCACCAGAGCGCAAAATACCATGCGCCCTCTACCCTGTTGGTTCACATCTGGACAGGCTTGCAGTCCGGATCTCCTGCTTCTCCCCGTCATGCAGTTGGAAAACGTGCCACTAGACATCCGGAGATGCGGACATCCCCCCGCGTAGGCCTGCAAGTTCGTCTGAAGTCCAGAGATCCCCCCGCGTAGGCCTGCAAGTTCGTCTGAAGTCCAGAGATCCCCCCGCGTAGGCCTGCAAGTTCGTCTGAAGTCCAGAGATCCCCCCGCGTAGGCCTGCAAGTTCGTCTGAAGTCCAGAGATCCCCCGCGTAGGCCTGCAACTTCACTTGAAGTCCGGATAACCCAGAGCCTACCGCGGCGTGTGAGCGGATCTCCTTCTTTGCTTCCCTGCGGCGCTGTCTACTCCTGCCTCCCGGTTCTACCAAGCTCCCATTTCCACACCTCCTCTCGCACGTCACCCACTCCATCTTAGTTCTGCGCTTGATCTTGGTGTTCGGTGGTATTCGAGGGATTAAAGAATGCGCTTCGACCTTTGGTGTTACGGTGGCATTCGAGGGATTTGGGGGATGGCTTCGGTTTGGCGTTTCGCTGGCATTGACGAGTGGATTTGGAGATGGCTTAAATCTTAATGATTTATTACTGGTGCTACTGCAGACACTCCTACTCGTATCTCCACATCACTCCTCGCGCTACAACATACTCCAGCTCCTCCCTGCTCCCTCATCCCACACGCGATTGAAGTGGGATCCCTTCACGAGCCTTCGGGTCCCACTTCAATCGCTTCTCCCTTGGTGTCAGGATAAACGCCCGACATCCAAACACGCGCATGTGCTTGACACTTGGTTTCGACTTGTACACGATCTCGAACGGAGTCTTGTGGTCGATCTTGGGTGAAGGCAGGCGGTTCTTGATGTAGATCGCCGTCATTGCCGCTTCAGCCCAGAAACACTTCTCCAGCTTTGCATGATGCAACAAGCTGCGTCCGATCGTGACGATGGTCCTTATCGCGCGCTCTGCGGTGCCGTTGGTCTGGTGTGCATACGGCACCGTGACTTGTTGTTTGATCCCATGATCTTCGTAGAAGGTCTTGATGGAGTTGGTCGCAAACTCATGCGCTCCATCGTGCCGAACAAACTTGATCTTCGTGCCGAACTGAGTTTGAATCTTGATGATGTGGTTCTTGATACAGTCTTCACTCTCAGACTTGGACCGCAGACAGAAGCCCTTCATGCAACCGCTAGCTTCGTCAACCACAAGCAGTAAGTATTCTGCTGCCGCCGATCGAGACTTGTTCCATTGGCCCGCAGATGTCGAAGTGCAGCAACTCGAACACACCATATTGGCGTTTGTCACGGTTGGTTGGGAATGGTTTTTGGACCATCTTTCCTTGCTGGCAACCGCGACACACACTTGGACCAGTCGAGTTGAGAGGTGCCTTGGCGTCCTTGATCATACCAGTGGGCCACCATCTTGCGCAGAACTTCAATGGGCGCATGACCCATGCGCGCATGCAAGTCGATAGTCCCATTGCGTGTTGCTGCATTCGCCGATCGTTGAGGAGTCCGCAGCCAGTAAAGTCCATCGACGAGATCCGCTGTTGCCACGACTTGAGTGGAATTCTTGCGCTTCACTTGCATCTTGGACCCATCGAACACGACTTGGAACCCGCCACCCTTGTTGATCTGTGGCACCGAAAGCAGATTCTTGCTCATACTTGGTACGAACAGTGCGTCCTTGATCCCGATGTCGCGTCCGTCACCACTAGGCAGAACCACCCGTTCCATGATGGTTCCCACACTCCTTGATCGCAGCCTTGCCGCCATCAGCCACTGATAGTTCGCCTTCCTCTCGCTCATTCAGGCTTGCAAACTTGGCTTTGTCGTTGGAGATGTGAGATGAGTTGCACCGCTGTCGACTGCCCACATCCCCTGGCATATCTCTTGCCCGTCGAAAGTCCAGCCTCCAGACGAAACTCGCGAACGCAACCTCGATCGTAGTTGTCGTCGTTGTTGTTGTTGGTTCGCCACTGAACGCTGTTGGCTCCGCGTCCACGAGCCTTGCTGCCGCCGCGTCGAGCTCCACCTTGATTTTCGTCCTTCTGCTTGGTCCAGCACCGCCCGCCGTGCGCCCCAATTTTCCGCAGTATGCACACTGGCGAGGTTCACGCTCGGTACTGAACGCCTTCGCCGCGTCTTCAGTCTTCACCGATGTCGTCTTGTCACCTTGCCTCTTGATGTGCTCCTTCGTGAGCACTCTCACGACGTCTCGCGATCGTAGTTCCGCGCTGCTCATCTCCAAGCTTGAGAAAACGACGTCCTCGTAGCTCTTGGGGAGGCTGTGTGGTGAAGTCGATCTCACAAAATTGCTTGTATGAGTGTCGATCTTCCACTTGCCCAGGCTTGCTGACTCACGGAGGGGGTACTCCGATCCGTGCCTTGTTGTATGACCTTGTGCTCACCTTTGTGTACCCGTCGGTTGGGCTGGCTTGAGCTCTTCGTAACGGGCCTTGGGAGATGTCGATCTCGCTGAGAGGTTGGGTTGAGTCCAGCTCCCCTGCTCCCTCATCCACACGCGAAGATGCACCCGCAGCAACCACCTACCAACAACAAGCAACCACCCACCAGAGCGCAAAAATACCATGCGCCCTCTACCCTGTTGGTTCACATCTGGACAGGCTTGCAGTCCGATCTCCTGCTTCTCCCCGTCATGCAGTTGGAAAACGTGCCACTAGACATCCGGAGATGCGGACATCCCCCGCGTAGGCCTGCAAGTTCGTCTGAAGTCCAGAGATCCCCCGCGTAGGCCTGCAAGTTCGTCTGAAGTCCAGAGATCCCTCGCGTAGGCCTGTAAGTTCGTCTGAAGTCCAGAGATCCCCCGCGTAGGCCTGCAAGTCCGTCTGAAGTCCAGAGATCCCCCGCGTAGGCCTGCAACTTCACTTGAAGTCCGGATAACCCAGAGCCTACCGCGGCGTGTGAGCGGATCTCCTTCTTGGGCTTCCCTCAGGCGCTGTCTACTCCTGCCTCCCGGTTCTACCAAGCTCCCATTTCACACACCTCTCGCACGTCACCCACTCCATCTTAGTTCTGCGCTTGATCTTGGTGTTCGGTGGTATTCGTGGATAAAGAATGCGCTTCCGACCTTTGGTGTTACGGTGGCATTCGAGGGATTTGGGGGATGGCTTCGGTTTGGCGTTTCGCTGGCATTGACGAGTGGATTTGGAGATGGCTTAAATCTTAATGATTTATTACTGGTGCTACTGCAGACACTCCTACTCGTATCTCCACATCACCTCGCGCTACAACATACCTCCAGCTCCCTGCTCAAATCACTCCACAACGCGATTGAAGATGTCGACATCCGATCATCCAGAGTCAGATGGTCCCACGGAACGTTCAATCGCGTCTCCCTTGAAGAGATACTTCGAGGATAAACGCCCGACATCCTTTAAGACGTTGCAGTGAGTGCTTGACGATGGTAGAGTTTGCCATCAACAACTTGGTACATGCGATCTCGAACGGACCGTTTTGTGGTCGATCCTGCGTGAAGGCAGGCGGTTCTAGAGTGTAACTCTGCCGTCATTGCCGACTTCAGCCCCCAGAAACCGATTTGGTTCACGCTCATCACGCTCTGACGAAGAAGTCATTGCGTTTGATGCCGATATCGATAACATCGATATCGAAGAAGATGATGCCAGTGAGAGTGCGGAAGCCCTCACTGAAGACAATGATCCCAGTGAGAGTGCGGAAGCCCTCACTGAAGAAAAGGTTGTTGTCGCTGCAGTGCGCTCACAGCACACTGAAGCTAACGAGTCATCAGATGAGTTCATACTGGCTCGTGAAACGGTAGTCCGTTTTGTGCAAGACTCCATCGCCGAAGCGGTGGATAAGCAAAAGCAAAACGCTGACAAGAATGGAAGGGCAAACACTCTTTTATTTAATAAAGGTGACTTAGTCCTACTGTCTACGGTTAATCTACCAAAGCATGTAGTGACTAACTTGGGTAGCAGTAAACTACTACCCAAGTACATTGGCCCATTTCGTGTATTGCACCGCCTAGGCAATGCATACACGATCGAGTTACCACGTAAGATGCGAACGCATCCCACGTTTTACGTTGGTCGGCTTAAGCCGTACCATCAGTACGCTGCTTCTTCCGATGAAGAACGCCCTTGCGCTCAAGCATCTCGCAGAGAGCCTTGTGCTCCCGATGGTGGGCATCAACAAGGGTCTGAAGAGCAGTTATCTCAGCCCGAGACCGATCAACAATCCCACGAGCTACCCTTAGCTCGTCACGAAGAGATGTCAGAGATCTCTCGTTCTCAAGTTGAGCAAAGGCAAACTCAGCTCGATGCTTCGAGGCAGTGTCCACCATCTGGAGACGCCTATTCCGCTCATGCTCGAGATCGTCGCGTAACCCTTGCGTTACGCGATCAAAGAAGCTCTCGGGAACACACCGATCCACACGATCGTGTGGAGAGCGTCTTTCCTCCTCCTCCACCTCCATTAGAGGACTCTCGCGGTGGCCAGCGCTATCTAGTTGAGCAGCTGTTGAACCACCGCGACGTGAACGGACGTCGGACGAGTTACCTCGTCCGGTGGCGCGGCTATCCCCCGTCCTGGGATTCTTGGGAGCCCCGCTCCCAATTGATGGTTGACGTACTGGGTCTGGTCGAGCAGTACGACGCGACACATCCTGTGCCGCAGAAGGACCGCCGGAGAAAGTCTTCCCGGCACGGTCGTAAAGGGATTTCAGGTTGTCAATCCCTTCGTACATCTCAGTAGAGACACGTACGCGCCACCACGGGCTGGTAAGGAGGTAAGCCTCCTTAGGTGCTCGTGCAGAGTTGTTCACACAACATGGGCACGAGTCTCCCCAAGAGAGGCAGGGTAATCCTTTCTCCCTTGACAGACGATGCAGCTTGTAGCGTGCACCTGTCGGGGTTCGCTTTTCAAACTTATCACGAGCTTTGATAAGTTTGTCGTTCCAAGCGTCACGACCTACATCCTCGAGATTATGGATGTAGGCGTTCCACGCCTGAAGTAGTGAGGGACCATCACGTTTGTGATTCCCACTGTACCATCGATGTCTGAAGAAAGCATCGATGAAGAACTCATGTTCAGCGCGATAGTCTTTCGCGCTGGGGTCAAGGTGATGAATCCTTGACGAATCGAACAATCGTGTTCGATAACGATCACTCGTCGTCGCCGACAAGTGATCCATGACAGATTTAGGAGGCATCCATGCCTTCTTTTCTGGAGCGAGACGCAACACATTGCGGTCCCGCTCTTCCTGCGACGTGCCGACAGAAGTACTGGCACCTCGCTGTGAAGTGGTGTCCATTGGAGAAACGACACCACTATTAGCGCCCGAGTCTCGCGACCTCGAGCGCCTTCGCTTCGGCGATGGTTCATCTGACTCATCAGATGAACCAAAGATGCTGCGACGCAAAGCATCGTCCATGCCACGCTTGGCAGGCGGCTTGGATTCAATTGCCGTCGATACGGATCCGTCATCCGTATCAGGAGAGTACGAGACACCGAGCTCGTACTCTGTGAAGACACGAGTGTCTTCATGACCAGCGCCTGCATCACCAGGTGATACAGGCTGAGTCGATTCAGCAACCGATGGGACATCAGTTGCTGTAGTTTCTGCTTCGGCGTCCGCACAGAGACGTGCAGACGCGCTCTCGGCGGCCTTGCTCGCGCATCGCATGGGCTTGTTTACCATGCGATGAGATGTTGGAAAGTGGACGCGGACCAACAAGTGCAAACCCCGTCCCAAATGATTTGGGACGAGTATCCATTTAGTCAATCAGTCACTAAAGTGACTGATGGTTAAGGGGGGTGATGTAACGGGGTGAATCGTTACATAACAATTTATAAGAAATTGTTAATAGAATATAACTATAAGAGTTATATTCTCAGAATATTGTCATAAGGACAATATTCTGTAGCACTTCCAAGTAGTTCCTAATTGGTTGATATAGGCCATTATATCAACCAACGAAGACGCGCCACGACAGACGCACGCAATGAGTGGTGAGCAGATAACTGATTTACACATTTGTATTTAGACATAGTTAGATGAAGATAAATAGTGATTTATTGCAGACATTAACTATTATAAATACAGTTCTACTTTTTACTCTAACCGAGTACTCGCTTCTTCTTACCGTCTTCCTCTGCACGTACGAGTGTACGTGAAGTTACGAGGCACCGCCTTATTCTGTTATCAGAATAAGTAGCTTGTACTGTCACCAGTACAAGCTTCAGGGTGCCCCGTTACACTAGTGATGCCACAGGGGCTAAGTAAAGCCCCCGCAACGTTTAACAGATGTGTTACGAATCTGTTGCGATCGGTGCGCGAGTTCGCACCGAGTTACTTCGACGATGTCTTCGTCCATAGCCGGGCTATGGATGGAAAGACGGACGCGGAGGTTCGTAGAATCCACGTCCGGAAGGTTCTTACACTAATGCGAGAGCATAAGTTGCTCGCGAACCTCAAGAAGTGTATATTCGCAGCGAACAACATACCAATTCTTGGCTGCATCGAGGGTAAAAACGGTGCACGCCCTGATCCGAAAGAGATCAAGGCGATTAGCGACTGGCCTGTGCCAGCCGACGTCAAGGGACTTCGAAAGCTCCTTGACTTGGCGGCGTACTTGCTCAAGTACTCGTGAAACTACGCTGAAATGACCGTACATCTCTTTCGTCTGTTAAAGAAAAACGAGAAGTGGTCATGGAGCGCTGAGTGTCAGCACTCTTTTGAAGGTATCAAGAAAAGCTTGGTGCAATCGCTTGTGTTGGCAATTGCAGACCAGGATAGGCCATTTCATGTGGTCTGTGACGCCAGCAATTTTGCAATCGGCTGCACGTTAATGCAGTACGACTCATACGGCGTTGAGCGCGTCGTCTGTTATCAATCGCGTAAGCTGAAATCAACTGAGCGTAATTACCCAGTGCATGACAAGGAACGCCTTGCCATGAAATATGCATTGGCCAAGTTCGGGTATATCTCTTCGGAGATAGGCCCTTCATCGTTTGTACCGACCATGCGTTATCACGCACGGCCGTAAACAGCCCACACCTCTCGCAACGAATGGCAAGGTGGCTGTCCTTCTTTGCGAAGTACAACTTCTATGTCGGGTATAAACCAGAACGACTTAATGTCTTCGCTGATGCTCTTTCGCGTCGGCACATTTTGAGCCGACCGCTCAACCCAACAGTAGGGGTTATCCCACTGTCGCGACGCTAACAGTGAGTGTTCCATCGTCGAATCTGCTCGACGACGTGCGAAAAGCATATACAGAAGATGAGTCTCTTCTGCGGCTGACGGATTATGTATCCAATCCATGCAGTCAAGCTTTGACAAGCTTGTTGTCTCACTACCGCTCTTCAACCGAACGGTATTAGGTTCGTGATGGACTGCTGTACTGCACAGCAGTCAATGGCGACACACCTCGTGTCGTCGTTCCGGCTCATAATGATTTGCGATTGCGCATTATGTATGAGTGTCACGATGCCCCACCAAGTGGGCATCGCGGTAGAGAAAATACTCACCTCACGGTGAGTCGTGACTCTTACTGCCGGGGCCAGTATGAGTTTGTGCGGAAATACATTCGCGCTTGCAAAGTTTGTCGACGTATGAAGCCTAGTTCTTCATCCCGCGCACCCTTGCAGCCTCTACCGACTCCGGCAGAGTGTTGGCAGTCCGTATCGACGGACTTCGTCTTTGGCTCTCCCAAAGACGCTCACAAGAATACTGGTATTCTTGTGTATATTGACCTGTTCAGCAAGATGGTGCATCTTGTTGCTGTACCGGAGTCAATCACAGCCCAGGGCTTTGCTCGTGTCTTCATCGATAATATCTTCCGACTTCACGGGTACCCCTTGAGCTCGTGTCTGACACGTATCCCCGCTTTATAGCAGAGTTCCGGCAATCCGTGTTCCGTTTACTTAAGACAAGTTTGAAGATGTCGACTTCAGACCATCCAGAAACAGATGTTCGGACGGAACGTGTTAACCGCGTCCTCGAAGAGATAATTTGAGGGTACGTCCGCTCGGTTTCTAGTTGGATTAAATTCTTGCCGATGGCGGAATTCACCATCAACAACTCGGTGCATGCATTGACAACGCATACATCGTTCTTCGTGAGTGGCCTACGCCATCCACGTTTATCCTCCTTCATAGAGTGTGACTCAAGTTTAAGGGGGGGGGTTTCGCTCGAACAGAAACATATCTGGTTCTTGCTCATCACATGTCGAAAATGGTGTCAACGTGATGGATGCCGATGTCGATGCGATTGTTGTCTTCGATGATGATGATCACGACGATGATGGTATATTCAGCATCGCCGATGACTACCACAATGAGGACGAAGACGTCTTCACTGGTAAATACAAGGTTCTTTCAGAGGTGCACACGACGTGCACTGCTGTTGACAAGGATGAATCAGCAGAGGGATTTTTTGCTGACTCGCGAAGCGGTTGTCCGCTTCGTTTAAGACTCTGTTGCAGATGCCTCGGACAGACAGAAAAGAAATGCAGACAAACATGGAAGGGCAAATGTTCTTTCCTTTGATAAAAGGAGACATAGTTTTAATGTCTGCAGTAAAGTTACCGAAACACGCAGTGAAAAACGTGGGCAACAGTAAATTACTGCCCAAGTAAATTGGTCCATTTCGTGTGTTGCGCCGAATGGGCAACGCATACACGATTGAAATGCCCCGTAAGATGCGTACGCATCCTACGTTTTATTTTGGACATCTCCGCCCGTACTATCAGTACGAGCCCTTATCGAGAGGCGAAGAATACCTCCGCGGTCGAGAGCCGAGACCACCTTCGAGTGGTCCCGTTTCAACGAGCCAGTCTGGTCGACTAGCGAAGCGACCTGTTCACGCTGTTGAGCGATGTCTTGATGAGCTTCAGCCAGCTTGTCACGAAAAGAACGAATCGAACGTTCGTTCTCAAGTTGCGCAAACGCAAAAGCGGCACGACCATCCAAACGATCGTGCGTTAGGAAATTGTAATTATCCCTTACAAGATCCTTAAGGTCATAACGCCGAGTCCGTTCGTTAGATGGGTCATCTTGCAACGGTTCCGTTACACATTTCAGCTCTTGAACATCAAGCTGATCCTACCCTCAAGCCGCATCAGATGTTCCCGCTTCCACCACACCCTTTAGTATATTGTGGTGGCGGTTTACGCTTTCTGGTAGAGCGTATTTTGAATCACCGCGACATAAAGAGCGTCCGGACGAGTTACATCGTCCGCTGGCGTGGCTATCCACCGACCTAGGAAAGCTGAGAGCATCGCACCCAGCTGATTGCTGATGTTCTGGGTCGCGTCGAGCAATATGACGATACCCACGCGCTGCGTTCGAAGAAGGGACGTCGTAAAACGACCCCCCGAACACGAGTACATGAATTGCAAAGTGTCAATCCCTTCGGCAATCTCAGCAGAGATGCTCGCCCTCTAGTAGGGAACATTATGGAGTTAGACCTCGCTAGGGGCACGATTCGGGTTGTCCAGGAAACCTGGACACGGGTTACCCCACGAAAGACAGGGTAATCCTGCCTCTATTGACGTTCGGTGCAGCTTGTATCGTACACCGACTGGGTTGCGTTTAGCAAACCTGATGCGAGCTGAATCAAGTTTACCGAGCCAGGCCTCACGGCCAATGCACCCGATGTTACGGATAAAAACATTCGATATGTGCACTAAGGCCTTACCGTCCCGGCCACGCTTGCTATTGTACACCCAAGGTTTAAAAGACACATCGGTGTAAATTCTATCTCAACGCGGATAGTTTTCGTGCTGGAATAAGGAGGACAGATCCTCCTACAGTCGAACAGCCGAATTCGATCCCGTTCGGTGGTCATCCCGGCCACTCGATCTAATTCCTTGAAGGATGGCATCCAAGGAAACTCCATTTGAGGAGAATGGCGTAGGAAATTGTGGTCCCTGGCCTCTTGAGTGGTTTCAGCATGAGCACTGACACCAGTGGCAGCTCGATTCCTCGAATATTTTTCTCGTGGTGACGTATAAGTGCGACACCACCATCAATATGCGTCCTATTATCAGATGGACTTCCGTGAGACGAGGATTCGTCAGACGAATCGCTCGGTCCGAAGATCTCGGACATGATGCCGCCACGTTCCTCCAGCCATTTTACCTTGCTATTGCAGTGTCCGCCTTAGATTATCCGGAGGCGTGAGGTGTCGCCTTCGAGTCGGATGCACCATCCGACTCGCCAAGATAGATGAGTTCTATTTCAGGCTCATCTACATTGCAAGTTTTAGCACCCGCTGCAGACACAGCGGATGTATCTGTCGCACGTGGTGACTCACCACGTGGACTATTCACAACAGGCACCGCATGTTGCTGAATCGCAACAGCAGGCGAAGAATCACCCGCTGCTGAAGCAAGAGAAGAACTTTCTACGGCTGCACGCATGCGTGCAACCGCCTTTATTGCTGCTTCGGCAGCACACCGCATGGACTTCGACAACATGCGATGAATTGGCAAATAAGTTAGAAGTTGACCAACAAGTGATCCCTTTCCCAGAGTGATCCAACGGTGGTCACTCTGTCCCAAACAGTTAAATTTAATCAGCGAGAATTTGATGGTCGAGGGGGATGATGTATCGGGGTAGCCCGTTACATGAAATTGACACCAAACGGTGTCAATAGGGAGATTGTCTAGCGTGACAATTTCCTATTAATATTATCCGAGATGGATAATATTGAAGAAACATTATTTCCTTGTAGGATAATATTCATGCGCTACTCAAACACTGCTTGATAAAGATATATCAACCAAGGTTACCACCAATCGCTGCTAGACGCGCGTAATGAGTGGTGAGCAGGTTGTCGTCATACGAAAATGTAAATTAGTATTGCTAGATACATGCTGAAGTTTTATTGGTAGCTTAACTATATTACATACAGTTTTCTTTGTACCTTTGCTCAAACTAGCAGTTTGAGTAGATTAGCTTCCTCTGCACGTACTAGTGTACGTGAAGTTTCGTGGCGTCCCAGGCAAAGGGTGCCCCGTTACCGCCAAGGTCATACGGCTGAAACACATTGAAACAAAACTGATAGCTCGCCGATTTCTGACAAAAGAAATTACGACCAACAAGTTCTAGATTCTCCTGGCAAAGACAATAGTCGGGACTTCTAGTCGAGGTGAGGTGCTGATGATGTACGCTTTGTGTACATTTGAGTGTGGTCGTTTTGGAACGGACACAGAAACTAAAACTTCGTCGTTCGGATACACAAAGAAAGAAACAACTCATGTATGACATTTGTAGTGCTTCTGCAAAGGAGTAGCTGAATGCATGTGTAAGTTTTCTAACGAATAGTACACTTTCCATTTTACTCCTGACTACCAGTTGTCTCCTCTAAACTTTATACCTCTTTACAATAGCCGCTTCGCGACTTCTTCATACCCTTGCCTCCACGGACCCTTCCATAGATACCAATTCCTAATTATTTTCAGCTGCGCTCAATTCGATTTAAACCTTGGAAGTTAGATAAGGGAAGCCCTTTCGGCAGGAATTATCCCTCGCGGAAGCCGAAAAGGAAAAGGTCACGACTTGGGCATGCCTCTCACGCACCCATGGGTCGTACGTAGGCAGGGAAGGGGAATGTGTAATAGCGGGTGGCATCCCCCGCGCCTCGTGTCATTTCGATGACCGTACTTCACGTCCCCCATAATCGGTGGCGTAGCACACGATAGTCTTCCTGCTTTGTCAACAGCTTCTGGGGTTGAAGACCCCATATGAACTAAACCTCGCCGTCATGACACGAGCCGCCGGTCTGCGGACCCAGAATCGTCCCTGTGTCTTAAGGACCTGCCAGTATCTGCCACTGGGATTTCCGGTGCTCACCTTTTGGCTCAGCAATTGATAGATGTACAAGCGAATAGATCACACCGTGCAAAAAGACCATCTGAACCAACCAACCTTCCTTATGTACCCATCCCTTTAAACACCATAATGAGTAACACTAGGTAATCTTCCTTTAGTCCCCTTCCAGCAGAACCTTTGACAACCTAGAGCTGTCAAAGGAAGATGGAGACGCATATACAGGGCGAAATGGCTTCGCGATTGCTGTACTAAGACTAGCTATATTGGGTCATCCCCCAGCTATAAGGAAGGTGTGGATGCGCTGTGCACAGGAATGACACCATCACACCCAACAATCTAACGAATCATCTCTTAGACAAAGTTCAACAAAATGATTCGGCTGTGCTTACGTGCTTGTTTACCTCACTTTATAAAGTTCGAACAGTGGACTATGAACCTGACAAATGGTGACACATCGTGCCGTAGTCTCACCTGCTTGCTTAATTCCGCCAAGGAGGGGTAGGTGGAATCGCAATCGGCAACGACACTCCTTTGACGACCACTTGTACCAATCTTGCTAGGGCTCCCACGCTGCATGATAATCAACTACTGTTTTTTCGCTGTTCATATTGCTACTAGCTTTTTCTTGTGCGAGGGCTTATTCTGTCGTAATTGCTGATATTCTTGCCGGGCTGTAACCCTTCACGCTCGTACAAGTGTACTTCGCGCGGCAACTGGGGCAAATCTCTATGTTAAATCAGTTTCTATAGCTTTTTAATTATCCATGGTTTTGTAATGTAGCGTACTAGTACGTACTCCCTGTTTTGATTGGCTGGTTTACGCTTGGAGGCTATCTATCCACTTGCTTTTTAGCGAGTAAATCGATTTTTCAGGAAATCCCTTTATAAATCGCCGGGTTTTCCGTGCAGACTGTCTGCTCATTTCAGGTTTGTACTCCATTAAATAGCATTCTATTCAAGCCACTTTAAAGACAGCCATGCGATCGTTCTACCTGTTTGCGCTCGCCGTGAGTTGTGTGCTCCTCGTCCTCGTCGATCACGCATCAGGCCTCGAAGGGTTGGAGGTCCGGGCATCTGGCACTGATGGAGCTGAGGACACGAACGGTTTGGGGCCCTTGACAGCTGCCCACGACTTGGAAAACCGTGGAGAAAGAGCGCTCTATTTGATGGAAAATGCGATTGCAATGCTGAAGAACGCATCCAAGTGGCTCAAGGACAAGCTCAATGCATTTTCTACTTTATTCTCCAGGTTACGCAAGCCCAAGAATGAAGGCGTGACACACGTCGCTGGCGCTAAGCCCAAGAATGAAGGCATGACACACGTCGCTGGCGCTAAGCTTAAGAATGAAGGGGTGACACACGTCGCTGGCGCTAAGCTTAAGAATAAAGGCGTGACACACGTCGCTGGCGCCATCGCCCACAAGCAACAAAATAGTGTCGATCCGATTGCTCCCCGTTTCCAAAAATTTCCACGAGATAGACCTCCTGCTGTCGTATTAGAACCGGTGGACGAACTGCATGGCAAAGATTTTCAGCATGCGATGAAATCGCTTCGGAAGATATTATCGAGCAACGATCCGGCCGTTGTATGGTATAAAAATTTACTTGTGGAGAGTGGAAACAATTGTGGACTCGTGGCGCGACATATCTATTACATGAGAACGCAAGACAGAACGTCAGCAAAATTGCTTGCACTCGAATTGGCACAGTTCGCCTCCTGGATCGTCGGGGGACTTAAACACAAACATGTTGTAAAACTCGTGACGGAGGCTTGCGACAAGTACGAGGATCACATCGCAAAAGTTGTTGCAGACCGCTATGTATCGATGAGTAGCATCGCAATGGATAGACATCGCAGCAAGCTTAAATTGTAAGCGCTACGACCACGTTTCGTTTAGTTGTTCACACGCTGATCGTTGGGAACAACTAAACGAAACGTGGTCGTAGCTTTTTGTAATGTGGCATGTCTTGTTGTGCTCTGTCCTCTTGCTTCCACTCGTCGACCTCCTGGTTGCATCTGATGTTTCTCGAATAACGCGTGTCGAGCCAAAGTGCCCAACGAATGTAACTGTGCATGAGTGCGCTATCTGTCCGTTCTTTGTATACTTGAGAGGAAGACATGGCCAGCCACAATGTCGTTCCTAGCGCATTCGATGATGAGATTCGGCCAATGCTTGTGCAGCGCTGCTGGTATGGTTGACACAAATTACAGTCACCCGCGCAGGTGTTTGTACGATAACTGCCCTGGCTTGTGGGGATGCACGTTAGAAGGTTTTCATCGTTGACCCTACGTTGTGGATAAGAGCTTCCATAGGTAAGCTGTCGGTGAAACGAAACCTTCGAAGCGGCCGATTACGTATGATCATGCACGGAACACGAGCCGCTAATGCTGGACGATCGTCTCAAACCTTGGACTCATTTGGTTACTGTTATCTCGCCACCTTGAGTTAGTAAAGGCAAAATTTATGATAAACGTTGCTATGAGCCTGCATCGTTCCCAACATTAACCACGTATGAAAGCATGGCCCAGGCATCACGAAGGTTACGCTGCCCGTAGAAGATGGGAGAAGGCCTCGACACTTGGCCAATTGTACTTGTTGTTCATTCGCGTAACGATTCTTCTCTACTTCAACCGGTAACTGAGAACCCATGATAACGCCTGATATCGCACTCAGTTTCTTCGCGCTCTTCCCAGCTTGACGCGGTGCCATGTCTCCGACGCGTGTCCCAACCGGTCATGGAACAACCATCATGATACGTAGTTGCGCATACGTCACGCATGAATGATCCAGAAGGGGTAAAAGATCAAGCGCCTACTGGAAGCAGCGCAACGTGACACTAATCCTCGCCTCACGACATCTAGCCGTCTTAGGAACCGCATGTTTGTGCGTTCTTCGCGCCGTGCCACCCATGACCATCAAATCGCCATCTCCAACCAGCAACTCCATTCGCGCTACAGCCACGTCATCGTTTAATGCATTCTTTGAGGTCCTCTTTGTAAACACAAAGCGCCTAGTAGCTCCCAGCGACAAAGCCACGATCGGAGAGCACACAATCATGTCACGTTCGTCATCGGCGTGTGGCCCAATGTAGTGGTCTCCATTCTCGTACCAGTTCACGAGACCTCCATTAAGTCCTGTCTGCCGCGTGGCAGGGTCCCTTACAATGCCCTGCATGTGCTGGATAGCGTGTCTCAATCCCGCGGATACGTCTTTTGGGCTTCAAATGTCCTGCCAGAGTATCGGTAACTCCCTATTTTGCCGCATACCTGCTGGAATCGCGGAAGCTTCGTTTGTCTGCCGAACATCAAGAAAGTGCCATGATCCCTTGGGTGTGCTTCCCATGCCGGCTGAAATATGGCAGACCAGGTTACAGACGACTTCGTTACAGCTGCTGAACAAAGCTCCTCAGGATTGGTGTGCTCGAAGATATGCCAGTACCATCGTGGCACAATATAGACCCAGCTTTTGTGGTCGGAGGTGAGATACTGGACCGTCGCGTCTTGTTCAAACAGCTTCAATAGAACGGTCTTCGGTAGGTGAGCAGCAACAGCACCGGTCTTCGTGTTGGCCACAACGTTTTCTAGCGAGAATTCCTCGAACTCTGCCAACGGAGACACCCTTACACGCTTTTTGGCGGGACCAGTGCAGCGTTCGGATGATTGAGGTTGCTTGAATCCGGCGGGCATAGTGGGAAGAGCAAACGCTTTGAACCGTGAGTGTCCTGTAACTTGGCAAAGTAATTTTTGAGCTCTTCATAATCGATCGGACTTGCGCATTCACAACGTTTTTCTACACCAATAACGGCTCCTGACTCCTCTATGCCATAGGCACCCAAGAACCCGTCGCGTGGCTGGCAAATTCTTCTGGCGTCTATCTTGTGCACATCTCACGCATTAGCCTCCTCTCCTCGCTTCTGCTGAATAATTAGTTTGACCTGCAGCGTGCCGCTCGCTCAATAGTGAAACCAATGATGACCAACTGTTACAATCAGATACACGTGCTCCACTAGCACTTCCTCCGAGCTGTCGATAGGCAGATCTAGACGATTCAACTATGTATGCGCATTCGGAATAGCAGTGAAAGGTAGTCCTGTTGGCAAAAGAAGGCACCATTGAGAAGTCTAACACCACCCTCGCTACCGATCAATCCTCGACCCCTACGTTGGCATGACCAGTGCATGTCGTGAACAGCACAAGAAAACGCAGCCCTCGCTCCCCAGTCCCTTCACTGCTGTTCAGAGCAACTCAATACTCTCGATCCCCCGTTTCGCGGGAAGTTATGCGGACAGAACTTACAGTCCGCTTTGTTTTTTCTTGTCGTCCGCGTCAATCAATAGCATTCCACACGTACGCGATTCGAGCTCTTGGCAGTAAAACACACCTTAAGCATCCCCTCAGGCCACCACGTCATACATCGCCGTACATGAACGACAGCAGCTGGTTACTCACGCTTCTTAGCACATAATACTTCAAGATAGCGTCCAAGTGACGCGAGTAATTCTCTCTCGTACCACAGTCGATACCAGTGCCACCTCTAACAAGCCCCACGATATCCACACAGCCATCCACAACAAGAGTCGCTGTAAATTCCGCACAGTACGGTTTCGCATCATCGGTCTTTTTTTAGCTATCGACACGCCTATGGCGATTTTATCTTCAAAAAGTACAGGCCGGCAAAGGAGATCGGAATGCCCATCGAAGAATGGCAGCGCAAGAGCGCACTGGCGCCAAATGTTTTTCGGAACCCCTTTACCCACGAGCCGTCCAGAAAACCCCAAGAAGGCCAAGTGATCATCTTGATCAATAGGCGAGTCTGAGCTCGCGGTATCCATTAACTTTGCTCTTTTCTCGCTATGTTTGCAAGTGTTTCGAATGTCGAAACAACAGCTCAGCAAAAAGCGCCGCATAACATTCGCAAATGACGCCACCTGCATCCAACGCTGGTCCTCGTCAATCATCAAACGCCACCTCTGCTTCAACTGATACGATTCTGTCGTTCCTACAAGTGCAAATGAGACCTGCAGCAAATGACCTTACCACATTGACAGCTTTGCACGTCCTGTAACGGGGTGAATCGTTACATAACAATTTATAAGAAATTGTTAATAGAATATAACTATAAGAGTTATATTCTCAGAATATTGTCATAAGGACAATATTCTGTAGCACTTCCAAGTAGTCCCTAATTGGTTGATATAGGCCATTATATCAACCAACGAAGACGCGCCACGACAGACGCACGCAATGAGTGGTGAGCAGATAACTGATTTACACATTTGTATTTAGACATAGTTAGATGAAGATAAATAGTGATTTATTGCAGACATTAACTATTATAAATACAGTTCTACTTTTTACTCTAACCAAGTACTCGCTTCTTCTTACCGTCTTCCTCTGCACGTACGAGTGTACGTGAAGTTACGAGGCACCGCCTTATTCTGTTATCAGAATAAGTAGCTTGTACTGTCACCAGTACAAGCTTCAGGGTGCCCCGTTACACCTGGTAGCACTTCGTAGTCCGTCCAAGGACCGCGTTCACATCCAACATGAATATGTTGGATGATGAAGATGACCAAAGCTTTCACGCTACGCGTGACGGCTACTCCCATTTGAGCGATGTCGAATGGGATGCGGTTAAACGAATGGGTTCGACCATGGGCATCCATGCTGTTAGCGTCATGCTAGAGGCTCTCAATAGAGATGCCCAACATGCTACTATCGCCAAGTTCATTCAAAATGAACTTGACGCAGAACGCGAGAAAGTAGCCTTGCTTCACCAACAAGGTTCTCAACAAGCAGAGTTGTTGAGAGAACAAGGTGCTGAACAGTTTGAACTGTTGAGACAGCAGCAGGCTGCTGCTGGCGGGTCAATGCACTCGCGTCGGCCCGAGACTTTGAAGATTGACATCTCAAAGTATAGGGGGGTCGAAGAAGACTCCCTCTTGAGATGGTTCGTCAAATTGGATGACGCCATAAGGGCGCGTCGCATCGACGACGGGGATATGCAAGTTGCATTTGCCCAGTCAAATCTGGCAGGACGTGCCAAGACTTGGGCACTGGGGCTCAAGCTGCACGACCCATATGCGTTTGGGTCGTTGGAAGTCTTCAAGTCGCGGCTCAGACAAACGTTTGAACCGCCTAGAGCTGAGTTCAGAGCTCGAACCGAACTCTTGAAGCTCAAGCAGGGTAAGCGTGATGTGCACGCTTACGCTCAACATATACGACATCTCACGAGTTGTATAAGTTCCAATCCGGTGGATGAACACACGTTGGTTTCGGTGTTCACGCAGGGTCTTGCGGATGGTCCCGTCAAGACTCACCTGTTCCGGCTTGAACTAGATTCACTAGAACAAGCCATTTCAATTGCGGAGCAGGAAGACTTCAGTCTGAGACAGGCTCGCGCCAGCTCGACATCATATCGTCAACCGAGACGATATGACAACGGAGGTCCAGAGCCGATGGAACTCTGTTATGTAGAGAGCGAGAAGGCTCGCTCTACAGGCTACAAGAAGTTGCAGAGATGCAACAGATGTCAAAAGACAGGACACTACGCTTACGAGTGTAGTGCCCCTCGTCCAGTGTCTCGCGACACTGGGCGTAGTGACCGTCCACCCATGAGAAAGGGGCAGGGACGAGGGTCCGCAGTTGGTGCAAAGACGCAACAACGGGATGGACCGTCAAAAAACGGACAGGATCAGTAGGTGCGGAGCACCCTACTGATCCAGCAACGTCAAGAGAATTTGTAGGCCTCTTGATGAAGGTTGCTCCCAACACACAGACATTGTGCGTTGCTGCTCTAGGTAATGAGATCTCACTCATTACCTTGAAACTCGAAGTGACGAATAAGTTGTCCCTTCGAGCTCTAGTCGATTGTGGGGCGTCCAACAATTTTGTGCGACGCCAATCGCTAGAAGATGGTCACTTTAAATTCAGTGAATGTGACACACCTCCTACGAGGATGACGGTACGTCTTGCGACAGGCGCATCCGTAACCGTCATGAAGCGTATAGTGAAGATTCACTATACGCTAGAAGATACCCAATACGACGATGACTTTATCGTATTGGATTTGGATGACAAATTTGATGTCATCCTTGGAATACCGTGGCTCAGAAGGTACGAACCACGGGTAAACTGGCAACATCGGACAGTAACGATGCCTGCCGCTTGTTCATCAGATGGCCATCTGATGAACGTTTTGGAGCGTCCACAAGCGTGTGGATGTACTACGAGTGAGTGCGATGGCCTCACTTGTGGTACGGTCGTTAGTACGACTGCACAAAACCTTAGTGTACCAAACGGTTACACTTCGGAGCAAAGTTCCGGCGGCTGTGAGGAAACACAGGCTGCGCCGAAGGTCCACCACTCGAATAAGTCGGGTGGACTGGGACAAAGATGTATCCCTAGAGGGGAACATCTAGAAGAGAAACAATCGATCGCTCAGGTTAAGCGAAACGATAATCCTAGATCGACTGGAGAGTCTTTCGTAGAGGATCTCGCTGTGGTTGCGCAACCCCAGCTAGAGGAAGTAAAGGGAATAAGTCCCAAGATTACAAATACGGCGGAAATAAGTTCCCCGAAACCCGCGGGAATAAGTCCCCGGGAAGACGAAGGAATAAGTCCTTCGAAGCCTGAGGGAATAAGTCCCCAGGAAATGACAGAGACATTGAATGTCATAGTCAATAACGGATCATGTGTAGGCGCTTATACACTTGATCTGATTGCGCCTCCGAAGTTAACTTCGGAGATCACTCAGTTGCCAACGCTCGAACATAAAAGATTCTTGCGTGATCTGCGTAGTGGCAAAGTCAAGCAGATCTGCATACTCGTCGCTGAAGACGAGTATGTAACCGACATAAGGTCAGCAACAGTGTTTACTGAGAACGAGAGAGTTCTCAGTAGTTCATCTATGGACGAGAGTGCCCTAGATGAAAAGACACGAATTGAGCGATATGAGTCCCAATCATGGGAATCGCTCAAGGAAAATCCTCTCTATGAAGATTTGGTTGAATTCAAGGATGTATTCCCTGAAACTGTTCCGTGCGAATTACCGAAGGATAAAGGTATTCGACACGAAGTCGAGCTTAAACCAGGCTCGAAGTACTGTGTCATGAAGCAGTGGCCACTGCCTCGTGAACAAGTACTTGCGATCGACAAGTTCTTTGCCGATCGTTTAGCAGCGGGCCATGTGAGGGAATCAACTTCCCCACATAGCTCTCCGACCTTCTGTGTGCGAAAAGCAACAGGAGGGTGGCGGATAGTGCACGCGTTTAACAAATTGAACGCTGCAACGGTACCGGCTCAGACGCCGATACCGAGGAAGGACGTAATCATTGATGGTATGTCAAAGAGTACCATCTTTTCGTCCATGGATTTGATGGATGGCTTCTATCAAATCCTAATGCGGGAACGGGATATACCCTATACCGCAGTTAGCACGCCTAGCGGCATGCTCTGGGAATGGCTAGTAATGCCACAAGGGCTCAGTAATGCCCCTGCCACGTTCAACAGGTGTGTATCACATCTGTTGAGGCCAGTACGAGAATTCGCGCCGAGTTATTTCGATGACGTATCATCCATAGTCGAGCTATGGATGGAAAGTCGGACGTTGAGGTTCACAAGTACCACGTCCGACAAGTTCTTACAATCATGCGAAAGCATCAATTGTATGCAAACCTCAAGAAGTGTATATTTGCAGCAAGCGAAATACCACTTCTTGGGTGCATCGTTGGTAAGAACGGTGTACGTCCTGATCCCGAAAAGATCAAGGCGATCACCGACTGGCCCGTGCCGGTCGATGTCAAAGGTCTTCGAAAATTCCTTGGGCTAGCGGCGTATTTGCATAAGTATTCACGCAATTACGCCGAGATGACTGTACACCTCTCTCGTTTGTTGAAAAAGAACGAGAGGTGGTTATGGAACGCTGAATGTCAACGCTCCTTTGAGGGTATCAAGCAGAGCTTGATACAATCCCCAGTCCTAGCAATAGCCGATCAGGACAGGCCATTTCATGTGGTCTGTGATGCCAGCGATTTCGCAATCGGCTGTGCATTAATGCAGTACGACCTTGAAGGCGTTGAACGCGTCGTCTGCTATCAGTCGCGTCAGCTGCAACCAGCTGAGCGGAACTATCCAGTGCATGACAAGGAACTCCTTGCCATGAAGTATGCACTCGCGAAGTTCAGAGTCTATCTATTAGGAGATAGACCCTTCGTTGTTTACACTGACCATGCGTCCTTACGCACGGCAGTGAACAGCCCGCACCTTTCACAACGAATGGCGCGGTGGTTGTCATTCTTTGCAGAATACAACTTTACGGTCGAGTACAAACCAGGACGACTTAATGTCGTCGCTGATGCACTCTCACGTCGTCCCGACTTTGAAACAGTCGCGAAACCCAACAGTGAGACAGTCACTGTTGCGGTTATGACGTCCTCAGTTCCATCTACAACGTTGTATGATGATGTGAGGCGGGCATACGCCCAAGATGGTGAGATAGTGAAGTTGTTGTCACATCTCTCCCAACCATCTCGAGAATCGTTGAAACGATTGTCGTCTGCGTATCGATCTGCATCAGATCGATACACTACTCGTAACGGTTTACTGTACTATACAGCCGTTTCTGGTGACACACCACGTGTTGTCATTCCAGATGATATTGATCTGCGTTTGCGGATCATGTTCGAGTATCACGATGCTCCTATAGGAGGACATCGTGGCCGAGAGAAAACATATCTCACGGTAAGTCGAGACTTTTACTGGCCCCGCCAGTATCAGTTTGTGCGAAAGTATGTTCGCGCATGCGAAGTCTGCCAACGAGTGAAGTCAAGTCCTTCACTGCGTGCACCTTTACAGCCTCTACCGGTTCCGGCTGAGTGCTGGGAATCCATCTCAATGGATTTCGTCTTCGGGTTACCCAAAGACGCACGCGGGAATACGGGTATTCTCGTATTTGTTGACAGACTCAGCAAAATGGTACACCTTGTGGCTGTACCAGAGACAATCACGGCAAGTGGCTGTGCTTGTGTCTTTATTGACACCATCTTCCGACTTCATGGGTTGCCCCGTGAACTCGTATCAGACAGAGATCCACGATTCACTGCTGATTTCTGGCGTTCCGTGTTCAAATCACTCGGAACGCGCTTGAAGATGTCAACATCTGATCATCCAGAGTCAGATGGTCAGACGGAACGTGCCAATCGTGTCCTTGAAGAGATACTTCGAGGATACGTACACTCCTTTAAGAGTTGGAGTGAGTTTTTGCCGATGGTAGAGTTTGCCATCAACAACTCGGTGCATGCGTCGACGACACATACACCGTTTTACGTGAATGGCTTGCGCCATCCGCGTGTACCCACCTTACTAGAGTGTAACTCTGGTTTAAGGGGGGGAGGGACTCGCGCGAGCAAAAACCGATTTGGTTCACGCTCATCACGCTCTGACGAAGAAGTCATTGCGTTTGATGCCGATATCGATAACATCGATATCGAAGAAGATGATGCCAGTGAGAGTGCGGAAGCCCTCACTGAAGAAAAGGTTGTTGTCGCTGCAGTGCGCTCACAGCACACTGAAGCTAACGAGTCATCAGATGAGTTCATACTGGCTCGTGAAACGGTAGTCCGTTTTGTGCAAGACTCCATCGCCGAAGCGGTGGATAAGCAAAAGCAAAACGCTGACAAGAATGGAAGGGCAAACACTCTTTTATTTAATAAAGGTGACTTAGTCCTACTGTCTACGGTTAATCTACCAAAGCATGTAGTGACTAACTTGGGTAGCAGTAAACTACTACCCAAGTACATTGGCCCATTTCGTGTATTGCACCGCCTAGGCAATGCATACACGATCGAGTTACCACGTAAGATGCGAACGCATCCCACGTTTTACGTTGGTCGGCTTAAGCCGTACCATCAGTACGCTGCTTCTTCCGATGAAGAACGCCCTTGCGCTCAAGCATCTCGCAGAGAGCCTTGTGCTCCCGATGGTGGGCATCAACAAGGGTCTGAAGAGCAGTTATCTCAGCCCGAGACCGATCAACAATCCCACGAGCTACCCTTAGCTCGTCACGAAGAGATGTCAGAGATCTCTCGTTCTCAAGCTGAGCAAAGGCAAACTCAGCTCGATGCTTCAAGGCAGTGTCCACCATCTGGAGACGCCTATTCCGCTCATGCTCGAGATCGTCGCGTAACCCTTGCGTTACGCGATCAAAGAAGCTCTCGGGAACACACCGATCCACATGATCGTGTGGAGAGCGTCTTTCCTCCTCCTCCACCTCCATTAGAGGACTCTCGCGGTGGCCAGCGCTATCTAGTTGAGCAGCTGTTGAACCACCGCGACGTGAACGGACGTCGGACGAGTTACCTCGTCCGGTGGCGCGGCTATCCCCCGTCCTGGGATTCTTGGGAGCCCCGCTCCCAATTGATGGTTGACGTACTGGGTCTGGTCGAGCAGTACGACGCGACACATCCTGTGCCGCAGAAGGACCGCCGGAGAAAGTCTTCCCGGCACGGTCGTAAAGGGATTTCAGGTTGTCAATCCCTTCGTACATCTCAGTAGAGACACGTACGCGCCACCACGGGCTGGTAAGGAGGTAAGCCTCCTTAGGTGCTCGTGCAGAGTTGTTCACACAACATGGGCACGAGTCTCCCCAAGAGAGGCAGGGTAATCCTTTCTCCCTTGACAGACGATGCAGCTTGTAGCGTGCACCTGTCGGGGTTCGCTTTTCAAACTTATCACGAGCTTTGATAAGTTTGTCGTTCCAAGCGTCACGACCTACATCCTCGAGATTATGGATGTAGGCGTTCCACGCCTGAAGTAGTGAGGGACCATCACGTTTGTGATTCCCACTGTACCATCGATGTCTGAAGAAAGCATCGATGAAGAACTCATGTTCAGCGCGATAGTCTTTCGCGCTGGGGTCAAGGTGATGAATCCTTGACGAATCGAACAATCGTGTTCGATAACGATCACTCGTCGTCGCCGACAAGTGATCCATGACAGATTTAGGAGGCATCCATGCCTTCTTTTCTGGAGCGAGACGCAACACATTGCGGTCCCGCTCTTCCTGCGACGTGCCGACAGAAGTACTGGCACCTCGCTGTGAAGTGGTGTCCATTGGAGAAACGACACCACTATTAGCGCCCGAGTCTCGCGACCTCGAGCGCCTTCGCTTCGGCGATGGTTCATCTGACTCATCAGATGAACCAAAGATGCTGCGACGCAAAGCATCGTCCATGCCACGCTTGGCAGGCGGCTTGGATTCAATTGCCGTCGATACGGATCCGTCATCCGTATCAGGAGAGTACGAGACACCGAGCTCGTACTCTGTGAAGACACGAGTGTCTTCATGACCAGCGCCTGCATCACCAGGTGATACAGGCTGAGTCGATTCAGCAACCGATGGGATATCAGTTGCTGTAGTTTCTGCTTCGGCGTCCGCACAGAGACGTGCAGACGCGCTCTCGGCGGCCTTGCTCGCGCATCGCATGGGCTTGTTTACCATGCGATGAGATGTTGGAAAGTGGACGCGGACCAACAAGTGCAAACCCCGTCCCAAATGATTTGGGACGAGTATCCATTTAGTCAATCAGTCACTAAAGTGACTGATGGTTAAGGGGGGTGATGTAACGGGGTGAATCGTTACATAACAATTTATAAGAAATTGTTAATAGAATATAACTATAAGAGTTATATTCTCAGAATATTGTCATAAGGACAATATTCTGTAGCACTTCCAAGTAGTTCCTAATTGGTTGATATAGGCCATTATATCAACCAACGAAGACGCGCCACGACAGACGCACGCAATGAGTGGTGAGCAGATAACTGATTTACACATTTGTATTTAGACATAGTTAGATGAAGATAAATAGTGATTTATTGCAGACATTAACTATTATAAATACAGTTCTACTTTTTACTCTAACCAAGTACTCGCTTCTTCTTACCGTCTTCCTCTGCACGTACGAGTGTACGTGAAGTTACGAGGCACCGCCTTATTCTGTTATCAGAATAAGTAGCTTGTACTGTCACCAGTACAAGCTTCAGGGTGCCCCGTTACACGTCCAGTGGACGTTGTCCACAAATGGCAATCTGTAAATCCTCAAGAAATTTACATTGATCTTAAAACTGCATGTGCCGTCCAAGATTCATATCTGGTAGCAGTATTCGTCGCCACGACGTCGCCTCATTCAATACTAGCCGGCATAACGAATCATGTAAGCTTTGAGCGTACTCAATCGATAAGTTGCTATCTCGCTCCTTCGAATCGAAGTACCGATACAACAACAGCCTTTCGTACAGGCCCATCTCCGCGCTTACGCTCCAACTGCTCTAAGTCGTCCGCATTGAGCATCCGCTTGTTTTGCTGTCATCGACTCGCTGTCAGCGGCGTTTTGCTCAAGCTGCGATTCGACAGACGCTGTTTCCTCGGAAGCTCAAAACGGATCCGTCTTTAGACGACCCGCCAATTGCATTACCAGCCCGTACCGATAAAAAGTGCTTCAAGCTCGCCAACGGATGTCGTTCTTCGAGCAAAATTCGTGCTGAGACTGCGTTTCGATTGGATCTTGTAGCCCGCCACATCTCGTTTACCACCGCGTGAGGTCTTGTACGGGTCAGATAACATTTGACCTGGATGGTTCAGGAACTTGTATACGTCACATCGCCACGATGTTTGCTATACGAAACTGCCATCAAAGACGGCAGAAGAGCAGCACAACAACAATACCGTCGGAGATTGCTCGATCGTCCACTTATTCACGGCGTCGACCTCAAAAGCACGAGATGATATGGGAGAGAGAGAGAGAGAGAGACCAGAAGGTACTGCAGCTTCTATCGGTATACGTCGCTACAAAACGCAAGGAGCACAATCCGGTCGCTTTCCCGTTCGTTCGTCCAGTGCTGGGATCCTAAGATGTCGTACTAAGCGCGATTTAGTCAGTCGCCTCCCGTCCATGTGCATAACGTAGTTCTAGATAGGCGCTTATCGCACCCATCCACTAGCCCCTCTTAGCATTAGGCGTGGGTGGGTAGATCCCACCCACGCCCACCCATTCATTCGTTATTCCGCTTTAGTAAACCCACCTACGCCGATCCAAATTTGTTACCCAGTTATCACCAGATTTACACTGTACATATAAGCCTCTTTGAACATCTCCATCACACGACTCAATAAATAAAGTTGTGACAAATATGGTGCTCAATATTGTAAGCTTGCGACGTCGTACCCATCCAGGCCCGCCCACCAATTGTTGTTCGAAGTTCTCAATTTGCCTTCTACTGAACGCCCGTTCAGAAAAGGCCCCCCTTACGACACCGTTCAAGCCCGTTTTTGTTCGTTGTCCTCTCGCTCCAAGTCTTTCGCTCTCGGTTTCCTCTCTTCGAAGTCGTCTTCGTCGAGCTCGCCTTGCCGCCACCCCGTCACCGCCTAGGTTCTCGGTAGCTCGCTGAGCTACTCGTCTACTTCAGTGGCAACACCTTTGTTTGCTTTTGCTCCCTTTATTTGTTAGCCTATCGGGTCTCTTCTTTCTACTTCCTTGTTGTTGTCTGATACATACTGCTTATTGCGGCTGGTGGAGAGACCGTGGGAACTTCAATTCAACGGGTTTACAACTTGCGTCGTTCTAAGTTAGAGGACCGCGGTTGCGTTTCACCGTGTATTAAGGTACACTTGGCGCTTCGTAGCTTCCGGTAGAGACTCTCTTTGCTTTGCGTGGGAAGAAGCCCTCAGAGTTAAAGTTTTCCCCTCTTACCGCAGACAGTCATCCGCGTAGACGACTTTAGCTGTGAGTTGTTAGTACTCATGGTGAACCCACGCCCTACACCTCGACGCATTGATTTCCCCCGTCAGCTACCGACGGACTCTTTGATTGAGACTAGTGAATCTGAACTAGCTCTCAGTAACTTGGACGTCTTGTGTCTTAAGTCATTAAAACTTGCTCCTACGCCAAACAGTGCGGCGGAGCTGTATCGCATGTGGATTCCCTTCCCCATGCGATCAAGCGCAAGCACCTTGTCAAGGTGCTTGATGAGCTTGCGAGAGACGATTAACCACAATTGTGGAAAAACGCACGTCAGGCTCGTCTTCTTCAAGACTTTAAGCTGATTTCTGATACGGGGATCCGTTTTACGTGCACGGCCTACGACACTGCTTCTGAACTCAGTTTTGGTTAAACTCAATGCGTTTGATTCACAAATCCAAGTCGCACGGTTTTCGAAGTACGGTTCTAGTTACTGCGTTGTTCTGATCCGTCTGCCCGACGAAGTCACGGACCGCGTGATTTTGGATTAATTGGCGTGACATGGTGCACCTCCGACGTGTGTCCTACCCACGTTCGTGCGAAACGGTCTTCTTTCGCGGAAACGTACCGTTTATTTTGGGCAAGATCAGGCGTCTTCTGTCTTGGTCCCTTCTCAAGACAACAATCTTCGTGAGGTTGAATTTTCATCGCCGGACGGCAGCATGGTCAAATTTCGTGCGTGTTTCTTTAACCACAAAGTGGCACGTTACAACCGTGTAACACACCCGTCATTCGTCTACGTCAAGAGGCAGATGCCGCGCGCAAGGCGGCTGAATCTACAGCGTCATCAACTTTTGGTCCGGTCTCACCATCCGGTGCGCCTATCCCTGTAGATCCTAAGGGATATGCATCGTCTCTTCGGGAATCGATATGCCGCACGCCGCCTGATGTACCAGTGGATTCTCCACTTGATTCTTCACTGGATATGAAACAAGATTCTTTAGGCTCCCCGGTTGCGCCTTCGGGTCATGATACCTTTTCCACTGACGACGTCGCCATGTCGGATGACGACGTTGCGTCGACTGTGGGTGATGCTGTCGACGAATTAGTTCCAGACCCCTCTGACTTCAACTTGAAGGCATTTTAGGGTGAGGTTTTTAATGCCCCCAAGATTATTCCTGGTGCACCGCTATGGGCGAAAGTGGGTACCAATCGTCAGGCACTTAAGGTCGTTCTGGCGCTGATCTGATTGCAGCCAAGTCGATCAAGTATGACTTAAAAGCTGACGCTGGTACAGCGCAAGCGTCTGGCCTCGTCAAGCCAAATTACTACCATTCGCTATGGTTTGAGGACGCTGACCCGGACGTCGCTCAATGGCATTACGATCTCGAAGTTTGTCGTGAGGAAGTCGACAAGACTTGTATGGAGTGTGGTCAAGTTGCTGCCGACAAGAAGGCCTAAACCTCGATCGTATCCCCATACACTATTGGCTATGAAGTTGAGAGTATGACACGACTTAAACTCACCAATTGCGTGGACACTTTTCTCAAAAACCTCAATTCCTGTACCCCGCTCGAACAATCGGCTACGGTTGAGGCTAACCCGGGACTTATGTTCCCGGCTATGGCGTCTAAAGATCGCCTAGACACTCTCGCCCATTACCGAAGTGTCTGTCGTCTTTTGGCTCGCACTCTTCCTATTACGAAAGTGGCTCAGTCGTAATGTTCAAGGGTTCTTCATGCGACGGGCAAGGCAAAGACCATGCTCAAAAAAATTGGGTTAGGGGCCTCCAATTTTGACTCAAGACAAGAAGGCTATTTTTTTCATTCAAACTGGGATTTGATGCTTCATCTATGGCACCGACGGTATATCATGACCCCATTAAGCTTTTCGTCCTCGCGGATACTATCCCAGACTTTCTCGTCAACTTGACGGTTTCGCTGCTTTCGGATAACAATCTTTGGCTGCTCGGTTTCAGCTGTTTTGCGAAAGACCTTTTGCAGTACGATACTGTGCCCGACTTTTTTAAGTCTTCAGTTCAGGCTGTCCAAGCATTAAAACCTGATGCGGCAGGGTCCCTAAGTTTTCGCCTTGCAGGCAGGAGGCATCAGCCTTCAAGGCGGTTTCACTCAATGTGAATGGGTTGAACAAGCCCCGCCTTCAGTTCTAGCAAGATTTACTTTCACATTGTCAAGTCGTCGCTTTTCAAGAAATTTAGCTTTCAAGTCAACAAATGATACACGACAACAACTATTTTCTGCATGCCGCAAATGCCTATGCCCGTTCGTTTTGGTCGCATTCCACTTCGACCGAGTTTGGGCTTCGCAATGGTGTCTCTCTGCTTTTTAATAGAGCACATTCTTTTCAAGACCTTCGGGACGATTCTGCACTTTTTGCCAATACTGCGGTATCAGGCACTTGGTATTTGGTGGTTTCTGGCAATTTGGGTCGGATTCGAATATATTTTAATGTGGTCTATGGACCATTTTGATCCGAAGATTTAGCCATCTTCTATTCAAGTTTACCAAGATCTTTCGACGACTCGGCGGTCCATTTAGTCATGGGTGAATTCAATATGACAATGGACCCATCACTGGAACAAGCTACGCCTGGATTAACTCATCACGACGCTGGTCGTGCTAAGCTTTTCGACTAGATGACTAGCCTCGGCCTCATCGACTTTTGGCGACTCGAAAACCATGATCTGCGTGAGTTTACGGGTCCCAAGTCCAAGAATCGCATCGACTACTGCTTGGCTAGTATCGATTTTTTACGACAAGTTTGTCCGTTGGTTTACTCATCTTTTGGGTACCAAGTTTGGGGGCGTGGATCATGTACAAGTGGGATTTTCGGCGTCGGTACATATACCAACCATACGTAATTCACTACCGTTCAAGTGCCCGATTTGGCTTCTCAAGTGCAACCAGGTTCAAGATCAACTTTCCCGTAACCTTCAGCGTTTGGCTTCAGTATTGGATCCAAGCAAAAATCCTGGGTGTCTTTTGGATGAACACAAACGGCGCGATCGAATTTTTCTTTGTCAAGAATATGTTAGGCGGAAGGATGCTACTGCAAGTAAACTGTGGCACCTTCTTACGGCTTCGAGGGATTGCGAGAAACTATTTTCAACGGATCCAAGTGATTACAATCGGCTTCAATGTAATCAGTCCCGTCAAGCCTATGTCGACTTTCCAATGGCTCTTCGCGACCGGAACGCCACTCCCAAGTTTGATCTGGATGTTAGTTCGGAGATTAATCTACCGAACATTTTCTTGGGCTTCCGCCGCGGCGGAACTCAAGCTGTCCATTTCGTCTGTCGACACGTCTTCAGGGTTGTCAAGGGACCTGCCCATGAATTTTTTTACTCATCGTCGATATTGGGGCACCGTTATTTAGTCGAACTCCCGCAATTTGGAGGTCGTTTCCCAGCAATTCAACCCTTCCAAATTCCAAGATATTTTTCAACACATCCATCGGAAGCTCAAGTCAACTCACGCCGCCCTTCTCGACGCGCCAATTACGACAAATGATTTTTTCCACGCTATCAAGCATACCGCTCGTGGGAATTTGCCGGGTCCAGATAGATCACCTGCGGAGTACTACCAGCTTTTTCCTGCTAAGTGGGCTCAGGTATCAGAGCTTGTTTGTGCGGCTCAATTTCGGCTAGGTCGCATGTCCAAGTTTCAACGCCGCGCCTACATATCTCTACTCTTTAAGAAGGGATCAAGATCGAACCCCAAGAACTATCGGCCCTTTACTTTGCTGAATCAAGATGCCAAGTTCGGCCCAAACGTATTGGCTTATCGCCTTAACCAATTTTTGCCCATTTTACGGGAGGTGGATCAATTTGGCTTCGTGCCTGGACGTGATATCCGGCACGCTCTTTGTTATCTTCATGACCTTCAAGATCACTGCCGACGGACGAATTCACAAGATCCCGCCGGTGCTAGTTGCCTCGACTTTGCCAAAGCTTTAGATAGTGTCAACTGGCAATCCCTGGATCAAGTTCTTCAACATTGGGGATTTGGGTTTAATTTCCGCCATTGGGTGAAGACTTTTTTTCAGGGTCCATTGGATCAAGTTTTAATCAATCTTTCGCGCTCGGACTTCTTCAGCTTAGGATCCGGCGTTTGTGAGGGGATCCACTATCGCCTGGTCTCTTTGTGCACTTTATTGTGCCTTTGCTGTATTACCTGCGGGCAACTATAGAATTTTCTGCCATCAAGATTCGCAATACCTCTCATCAGCTCGTCAGTTTTGCTGATGATGTTACGGGTTTGGTGAACAATCTCTCCCTTTCCCCCAAGTTTCTGGATCGTGCCCAAGATTTCTGGGCCGCCGCTGGAATGCGGCTTAATGTGGACAAGACGGTCATCTTTCTCTTTCGGCCATGGACTTCTTTGGACATCAACCTTCAAGATCGGCTTCGGGATTAGGGCGTTCGAATCCTCACGAATGACGAACACACTACACTATCAGGCGTTACGGTTGGGTCGGCTGTTACTCCACAACTGCAACTTTCCCAGCTTCTTTTTCGGGTGCAGAAGCTCTGTGTGTCTTGGCGTTGACGTGCTCGTACCCTGCGGGGTAGAGTGCTTATTCTGAAGACTATGATTCTTTTGTCACTATGGCATTTTTTTGCGTACTGTGGCCGTGACGAAGAAAGATCTGCTCAAGTTTAATCCACTTATGCGGAACTTCATCAATTGTACCCCATCAAGTACGGTGAACGATTCAGCTTTACGAAGTCAATTTTCAAGCGCTTGGCACCTGTGGATACATTTTCGGGCGGTCTTGGGTTACCTTTGATTGCGACTTCGGTGAAACTCCTTCAAGTTAATTTCGTTCGGCAGTTAATTTGTTAAAGCTGTCAAGACTACTCCACTCCGCTTAAGTGGTTTGTCCCTGCTCAAGATGCGATTGACTCGGCTTTCGGCGGTAAAGGTTCGGTTTTGGATTTTCTCTATATACCGCTTTCGCCTTTGGCTCAATCTTCTCGCTGGCAAGCCATTCCCGACTACTGGAAGGCTGCTATTGCTACTTGGAGCACCAAGATTTTTTCAAGCTTCAATGTATGAAACCAGTTTTGACCAAGATTACGTGACCGATTAGAATAATTTATTTTTTCGGTTTACGGAAGACAAGCGGACACTTTTAGTGCTCCATCGGAAGGCCTGCAATTTTCTCAGTCATCAAGGTTTTATGAGGATTTCGCCTTTTCTCTCCGTTTATGGCTCGCTTCTGGATAAAGAAACTCGTCGAATTTCTTTGACTTCCTCTTCTATCAAGCCGAGCCGCTCAATGACTTCTGTGGTACTAAAGCTGGCTCCGCGACTTGCTTTACCCGCACACTATCAAAATTTCGCGATTTTTCTGCTGCCGCTTGAAAGGACGGTCGGCGCACTACATGTAGGAACTTTTGATGGTATTGCCACAAGGTCAAACCGGGTCATCAAGTGTCTGTTGCTTGATCAAGAGCCGCCGCCCCTTCCACTTCTTCATCTTTCTGTTCCTGAAGTGGTTATTGGGTCTTCACATTGGGCGCTCGAAACGGCTGCTTAAATGCGATGTTTTACCAGTCTATTCTGACTTCGTCTTCGGCTCCAGCATAACGGACTTGGTTTCCGATACAAGTACCAATGGCACACGGCGAAAGTTCATTGTATTCACGGTTGTGTTACTCCGTTAACGCACCATCATTTACTATGGGATTGCTAAATGGCCAAGCGTCTGTGGCTATTACTTCTTCCCTCGCTTTCAAGAATTTTCCAGTCTACAATCGGCTGACCCAATTTTTGTTTCTGCTTACCGTGGACGTTCCGGTGCATTACCAAGATCTGTTTGGATCGCTAAATCTGGTTCGACTTTTCTACATGGTATGCAGTATTTATAAGAAAGCTCTTACTAAATCACAACAAAGCGATTTTCGACACTCCCACTCTACAATTTATGGGTGTCTTCAATCAATGCCTGACCATGGTTCGTCTTCATCCTCAGAATTTTTTAAAGACGATGACGCACCCTCAAAAGAAGGACAACATTCGACAAAAGGCTCGGCTTCTTGCTTTCAATGATGAATGGTATTGCGACTTTGCCGAAGATCCCTACCGTTTTCTTGTGGAACAACTTCAAGATTTCAAGGATTTTTCCAAGTCTTTTCAAGCTATTCAAGTTGCGATTTTGTTTTGCGGAATAACTACAAGATGACAAAGGATTTTCCCAATCTTCTCAAGCTATTCAAGTCAAAGCTTCTCGTTGCGGGATAACTTCACGATTTCCAAGACATTCTGTATTTTCAAGCTGTTTCCCTTGCGGAATGGCTTCATAATATTCAAGTCTCTACTTGTCTTATCAAGCCGTTCAAGTTGCTGTTATACATCAACATGGACTACCCAAGCGTTCCACTTAAGCACGACACTTTCGCCTGCTATGAAGCCGCTACTTCTGACCCTCGCCCCGAC